CTCGAGTAATAAAGCATGCTGTTGTATCATGTAATAGGTAAAAGTGGCTATTAATGACACAGTCGGGTTGTCAAAGTCTGACGCCGTCGTCTGTCTGGAGCAACCGTCCAATCAGCTTCATTTCCCTACGCTGCCCCGGCGAAATGCAGCTGATTTGACCGTCAAAGTGCATTTATTAAGTAAAAGTTTAACTGAGACACACCTTTACTATAAAGTCGAGCAAACAAATAATTGTTTTTAGGCGGTTATCTTGTTAAATGTTGAAGACAGCGAGTCGCCCTCTGCGCGTTCATGTTTCCGCGTATCGGCTTTTGAAAATGCAGCTGATTTGACCGTCAAAGTGCATTTATTAAACAAAAGTTAGACTGAGACACACCTTTACTATAATTTGAGCAAACAAATAATTGTTTTTAAGTGTTAATCTTGTTAAATTCTTGTTAAAGTTCTCCCGTGCACACTCCCACGGCCGCAATTTGGCAGCTCATCGATTTTTGGCACAACACCGGCCCACATTTCCAGGTTGTCAGCGGTGACGCAAAACAAACACAACACATCAGTGGTGACGTATAATACATGCGACTTACACGGCGATGCAACATATTTATGGATTTTTCCACTTTCTTAGACATATTTGGACTGATGCAACTTATAGGGTGGTGCGATGTGTACGGCTGAAAATACAGTAATACACTGGAATGGTGATGAACAATATCTCACCCGTTGCAGATAGCCCATTCTAGAGATTATCTGAGCTGTTTTAAGTCAACTCCAATTTTTGTTTGGTTTATAGAATTTTTTATACCTTTGCACCGCTGTTAGTGTCACACAGTTATACTTGAAGAAATATTATGTTTGCATTCTTGCAGAAAGTGCCACAGACATATAGCTGCTGCAGCCACTAATTGCATTTGCAAATTATTTTAATGCAACGTTAATAGCAATGTTTAGGGTCTATAAAATGGTGTTTTGAATTGGAATTGTTTAGTCTCCAGCTGTACATATTGGTTATTAGCCATTAAAATGGTAAATGGACTGTGCTTACCAGTATATAGCACCTTTCTGTCTTATCAAGACACTCAAAAGTTTTACACAATCTGTGTGTAGCTACAATACATTGATTGTGATAGCTCATTAATCTGGTCTGAATTATACTCCGTTTATCCAAACTGAGGTCAGTCAATGAGCCATCTACAGCAGGTAAGATATTATTTGTTCATATTTTCAGAGAACACCAATTCAAAATATCTCAACTTTCCACATAATTTCTTTGAAGTGTGTTACAGAAAAAAGTTTATTTCAAGGGTCAGAGTTCAACCTTCCTTTGTCCTCAACCCACATCCCAAAATGAATTGGAACAGTACCCTAGGAGCACTAGGGGTGAAAGAGAATCCTCCTTTTCTGATGCACCCTGCTCAGTTCTACAGTACATATTTCACCTTTCTGTATAACCATCCTCGTGCTTTCAGAAACACTTTGCTCTGTGCCTGCTGACACCCAGACTGTTTGATCTTTTGTCTGACTAAATAGTTGACACAAGTCCTGTGTTATTAGTGTCACAGAAAAAATGCTACTCATCTATGGTGCTCTCCTTTACAGGTGATTATCTGCAGATCTTTTTGAACAGAACAGCCGAGCAATGCAGAAATGCTCAGGTTGCACGTTCACCGTGCAGGGGTCGTGACTGGCTACTTTTTAAAAAATCACATGTAGTGTCTTACCAGATCCTGTTTAGAGCTAAACTACATTCTTTTTAAAGTGCCACCATCATGTTGATGAATGATATTTTGTCTCTTTGCATGCTGTCATTACAGGTCAAACAGTCTTTGAACATAAATATGGATTGTCATGTTCTGCGCTCACAAACATTTTAAAGGAGTATAATCTCATCTTAAAAGGTTTTTAGGTCCCTTTCATGCTTGTGTGTACAAGATGGACATTTTTTCTGATCGTTGTGGCCATGAAACAATGTGAATTTTGCATATAGTGACCAAACATCAGTGTGTTTTTATCCTTCGGGTGGTAAACACAAATATAAAAAAGCTGATTATTTTCTGACTGATGGTTCCTGTTACAAATAGGAGGGCCTGGAATTTTTATAAATACTGAAATGAGGATTTGTTACCATCCTCAAATACAAAAACATGAATTAGACCCAGCAATATTAACAATTTTCTGATAAGATTATTTATTTATTTATTTATTTATTTATTTATTTATTTATTTATTTATTTACTTACTTACTTACTCACTTACTTATTTACTTAGTTAGTTACTTAGTCAGTTACTTACTTACTTACATA